TTCAGTACAAAGAATTAGAAACTATAAAAGAGGAAAAAAAAATCCATTATTTATTGGGTGAAAAGCCAAATATGTGTCCTCCTGCCACAAGCTGAGGGACAGCCAGTGAAATGTGTAATGTAATGTCAATAATATTTCCCATTTAGTTTTGTCTTTCATACCATGTAATGTGTCTTCTCAGTCATGTTGAGATTGGTCGACTACTATTGCTTTAATGTATTGTTATTCTCATTAATATTGTTGATGTAGTTGCTGTTAATGGTAATCCCATTTCCACTACTACTAGTATTATTGCTGTTGGTCCCACCATTGTTGTTATATGTATACTTTGACAATGTAAGTAATTTAACTTGCCATGTCAATAAAGGCTATTGAATTGAATTGAATTAAATTGAATTGAGAGAGGAAGAGAGTGGGAGAGAGAGAGAGAGAGAGAGAGGCGTCAACAGCAACCTTGGGAAAATCCTCTGCATTATCATTAACAGCAGACTAGTTCATTTCCTCAGTGAAAACAATGTACTGAGCAAATGTCAAATTGGCTTTTTACCAAATTACCGTACGACAGACCACGTATTCACCCTGCACACCCTAATTGACCAACAAACAAACCAAAACAAAGGCAAAGTCTTCTCATGCTTTGTTGATTTCAAAAAAGCTTTTGACTCAATTTGGCATGAGGGTCTGCTATACAAATTGATGGAAAGTGGGGTTGGGGGAAAGATATACGACATTATAAAATCCATGTACACAAACAACAAGTGTGCGGTTAAAATTGGCAAAAAACACACACATTTCTTTCCACAGGGCCGTGGGGTGAGACAGGGATGCAGTTTAAGCCCCACCCTCTTCAACATATATATCAACGAATTGGCGAGGGCACTAGAACAGTCTGCAGCACCCGGCCTCACCCTACTAGAATCTGAAGTCAAATGTCTTCTGTTTGCTGACGATCTGGTGCTTCTGTCACCAACCAAGGAGGGCCTACAGCAGCACCTAGATCTTCTGCACAGATTCTGTCAGACCTGGGCCCTGACAGTAAATCTAAGTAAGACAAAAATAATGGTGTTCCAAAAAAGGTCCAGTTGCCAGGACCACAAATACAAATTCCATCTAGACACCGTTGCCCTAGAGCACACAAAAAACTATACATACCTCGGCCTAAACATCAGCGCCACAGGTAACTTCCACAAAGCTGTGAACGATCTGAGAGACAAGGCAAGAAGGGCCTTCTATGCCATCAAAAGGAACATAAAATTTGACATACCAATTAGGATCTGGCTAAAAATACTTGAATCAGTTATAGAACCCATTGCCCTTTATGGTTGTGAGGTCTGGGGTCCGCTCACCAACCAAGAATTCACAAAATGGGACAAACACCAAATTGAGACTCTGCATGCAGAATTCTGCAAAAACATCCTACGTGTACAACGTAAAACACCAAATAATGCATGCAGAGCAGAATTAGGCCAATACCCGCTAATTATCAAAATCCAGAAAAGAGCCGTTAAATTCTATAACCACTTAAAAGGAAGCGATTCCCAAACCTTCCATAACAAAGCCATCACCTACAGAGAGATGAACTTGGAGAAGAGTCCCCTAAGTAAGCTTGTCCTGGGGCTCTGTTCACAAACACAAACAGACCCCACACAGCCCCAGGACAACAACAACAACAACACAACTAGACCCAACCAAATCATGAGAAAACAAAAAGAGAATTACTTGACACATTGGAAAGAACAAACAAAAAAACAGAGGAAACTAGAATGCTATTTGGCCCTAAACAGAGAGTACACAGTGGCAGAATACCTGACCACTGTGACTGACCCAAACTTAAGGAAAGCTTTGACTATGTACAGACTTAGTGAGCATAGCCTTGCTATTGAGAAAGGCCGCCGTAGGCAGACCTGGCTCTCAAGAGAAGACAGGCTATGTGCACACTGCCCACAAAATGAGGTGGAAACTGAGCTGCACTTCCTAACCTCCTGCCAAATGTATGACCATATTAAAGACACATATTTCCCTCAGATCCACAAAGAATTCGAAAACAAACCCAATTTTGATAAACTCCCTTATCTACTGGGTGAAAAACCACAGTGTGCCATCACAGCTGCAAGATTTGTGACCTGTTGCCACAAGAAAAGGGCAACCAGTGAAGAACAAACACCATTGTAAATACAACCCATATTTATGTTTATTTATTTTCCCATTTGTACTTTAACTATTTGCACATTGTTACAACACTGTATATAGACATAATATAACATTTGAAATGTCTTTATTCTTTTGAAACTTCTGAGTGTAATGTTTACTGTTAATATTTACTGTTTATTTCACTTTTGTTTACTATCTACTTCACTTGCTTTGGCAATGTTAACACACGTTTCCCATGCCAATAAAGCCCTTAAATTGAATTGAATTGAGAGGAAGAGAGAGAGAGAGAGAGAGAGAGAGAGAGAGAGAGAGAGAGAGAGAGAGAGAGAGAGGGAGAGAGAGCGAGAGAGGAAGAGAGAGAGAGAGGGAGAGAGAGGAAGAGAGAGAGAGGGGGAGAGAGGGAGAGAGAGAGAGAGGGAGAGAGAGAGGAGGGAGAGAGAGGAAGTTAACTCTTTCTTAGTCCTACTCTTTTCCTCTATTGCTCTTTGTCTGAGATGTTCTTGAAATATATATCTATAGGTCTTGAACAAGTTTTTGTGACATCATAGAACTTTATTATTTACATAAAGGATAAAAGAGGTTGTATTAAAGTATTTAAACCAAACACTGTTTTATAATACATAGTGGTTACCATGCCAACAGCTCCCAGGTCATTGATAAAGGCCTTGATTCAAGCCTGGCGCCGATGATTTGTGCTATAGTGAGATTGAAATTTAAAGCCAGGGTTGCACTGGGACAGAGCTGAGAGGAAGGAAGGTCACCCTGCACTGGGTCAGAGCTGAGAGGAAGGTAAAGGTCACCCTGCACTGGGACAGAGTTGAGAGGAAGGAAGGTCACCCTGCACTGGGACAGAGCTGAGAGGAAGGTAAAGGTCACCCTGCACTGGGACAGAGTTGAGAGGAAGGAAGGTCACCCTGCACTGGGACAGAGCTGAGAGGAAGGTAAAGGTCACCCTGCACTGGGACAGAGTTGAGAGGAAGGAAGGTCACCCTGCACTGGGACAGAGCTGAGAGGAAGGTAAAGGTCACCCTGCACTGGGACAGAGTTGAGAGGAAGGAAGGTCACCCTGCACTGGGACAGAGCTGAGAGGAAGGTAAAGGTCACCCTGCACTGGGACAGAGTTGAGAGGAAGGAAGGTCACCCTGCACTGGGACAGAGCTGAGAGGAAGGAAGGTCAACCTGCACTGGGACAGAGCTGAGAGGAAGGAAGGTCACCCTGCACTGGGACAGAGCTGAGAGGAAGGAAGGTCACCCTGCACTGGGACAGAGCTGAGAGGAAGGTAAAGGTCACCCTGCACTGGGACAGAGCTGAGGGGAAGGAAGGTCACCCTGCACTGGGACAGAGCTGAGAGGAAGGAAGGTCACCCTGCACTGGGACAGAGCTCAGAGGAAGGTCTCCCCGCACTGGGACAGTCATGTCACTCGTGATGATGTCAAATCAATCCATGAAATGTACTTTATAAAGCCCTTTTTACATCAGCAGATGTCACAAAGTTCTTCACAGATACCCAGCCTAAAACCCCAAACAGCAGCAATGCAGATGTAGAAGAACAGTAGTTTGGAAGACCTCCCTAGAAAGCAGGAACCTTGGAAGAAACCTAGAGAGGATTTGGTGCGATGACTTCACTCAGGTGTGCCTGTCAGTTGGCGGGTTAGGGTGAGGGTCAGGTGGGGGGTTGCACCAAGGCATGCTGGGTAAGAGAGACCACCAATCTCCCCCTCCATTCTCACTCTCCTCCCCCCTCTCTCCCCCAGACATCTCCCATCCTCCCACCACCCATTCCTTCTCCTCCCCCGCTCTCTCCCTCCCTCTCTCCCTCCCTCTCTCCCACTCTACTCTCTCCTCCCTCAGAACCAAACTGTAGCGCTTCTTAGCCTCTCTCCCTCCCCCCTTCCTCCCTCCTTCCTCTGTCTGCCAGCTCTCCTCCACCTCCCCCAATCCCTCTATCTTCTCCTCCCTACTGTACACTCTGTAGAGATTCTTCCTCTCCTCCACCTCCCCCAATCCCTCTATCTTCTCCTCCCTACTGTACACTCTGTAGAGATTCTTCCTCTCCTCCACCTCCCCCAATCCCTCTATCTTCTCCTCCCTACTGTACACTCTGTAGAGATTCTTCCTGTACACATTCTTCCTCTCCACCCCTCCCACTATCACTCTCTCACTTTCTTCTTTTTCCATCTCTCTCTCCCCCTCTCTCTCCCTCTCTCTCTCCCCCTCTCTCTCCCCCTCTCTCTCCCCCTCTCTCTCTCGCTCCCTCCTGTTTTGTAGTGACATCCCCCCAGCTGTCCCTTCTATTGCTGAGTCCAACATCACAATCACTCTCTCTCCCTCCTCCCCCTCTCTCTCTCCCTCCTCCCCCTCTCTCTCTCCCTCCTCTCTAGAGATGAATAGAACAGAGCGATAGACGGCCTGCACCCCCCCTCCTCCCCCTCCTAGAGGCAGGGAGATGGCTTTGACTCCCCTGTTCTCCCCACTGACTCCCCCTTCGTGGCGTTTCAACCTGAGCAGCCTGACTCCCCCCCCCCTTCCTCCCCCCCTCCCCCTGTCCAGTAAAGGCCTATAGACGGTCCTATACATCCTCCACAGCCATAAGCCACTCATACACCCCCACCCCCCAGACAGAACACACAATAACACACACCCTGCAAACAGCCACCAGCAGAACACAGCCCTGCCCCCCACGACACTACCACCCCTCCAGGGATCTGAACCTCCAACCTGTCTGACTGTGGTCAGTGGGGAGGTCAGGGTCAGGGTTCTAGGTGGTGGTGGTTGAGTTGGGGTTCTAGGTGGTTGAGATAGGGTTCTATGTGGTTGAGTTGGGGTCCTAGGTGGTTGAGATAGGGTTCTATGTGTGATGGTCGTGGTCGTGGTGGGGTGTGGTGAGAGGGTAGTAACCTGTGATGGTCTGTAGAGACCATGATGCTCCCAGCTGTTCCCTCCCCCGAGCCTCCCCCCCTCTGTCCCCTTCCAGCTCTCCTCCCACTCCACCAGGATGGTCACTATCTCCCGCCAAGACCATGTGACCACCTGAAGGGGGGAGGGCCATGTGACTACCTCACCCGGCAGCGGGGGCAGGTGGGTGGGGTCGGTAGGGTGTAGAGGAGGGGTGGTGGGTTTCAGAGTAGCTGTGGTGGTAGTAGGAGTAGGGGTGGTAGTAGGAGTAGGGGTGGTAGTAGGAGTAGGGGTGGTAGTAGGAGTAGGGGTGGTAGTAGGAGTAGGGGTGGTAGTAGGAGTAGGGGTGGTAGTAGGAGTAGGGGTGGTAGTAGGAGTAGGGGTGGTAGTAGGAGTAGGGGTGGTAGTAGGAGTAGGGGTGGTAGTAGGAGTAGGGGTGGTAGTAGGAGTAGGGGTGGTAGTAGGAGTAGGGGTGGTAGTAGGAACAGTGGTTGTGGCTGCTGTGGTGGTGGTTCTGGTAGTGGTGGTGGTGGGCAGTAGAGTAGGGTTAGGTTCAGGTTCAGAGTCTCCAGGGGGGGCGTCGGGTGGGGCACCAGGTGGGCAGTACTCCTCATCCTCCAGCCCCACGATTGGTCGGCCGGCCAGGGAGGGAGGCGTGACACAGGTAACACTCTCTTCGTCCGGGGTGATGATTATTCCAACCCTTGTGTACACGTTGTGGCCCTGATCATCCAGGTGTTCCTTCAAGTAACCCACCTTCAAATACAATCCAACTTTATTTAAACACACCTAGAGAACGTACCTTACAGGGTTCTGGACTAGACAAGATAACATATCTTACAGGGTTCAAAACTAGAATAGAGAACATACCTTAAAGGGTTCTAGACTAGAGAACGTACCTTACAGGGTTCTAGACTAGACTAAAGAACATACCTTACAGGGTTCTAGACTAGACTAGAGAACATACCTTACAGGGTTCTAGACTAGAGAACATACCTTACAGGGTTCTAGACTAGAGAACACACCTTACAGGGTTCTAGACTAGATAACGTACCTTACAGGGTTCTAGACTAGACTAGAGAACATACCTTACAGGGTTCTAGATTAGAGAACATACCTTACAGGGTTCTAGACTAGACTAGAGAACATACCTTAAAGGGTTCTAGACTAGAGAACGTACCTTAAAGGGTTCTAGACTAGATAACATACCTTACAGGGTTCTAGACTAGAGAACATACCTTACAGGGTTCTAGACAAGACTAGAGAACATACCTTACAGGGTTCTAGACTAGACTAGAGAACACACCTTAAAGGGTTCTAGACTAGAGAACGTACCTTAAAGGGTTCTAGACTAGACTACAGAACATACCTTACAGGGTTCTAGACTAGAGAATATACCTTACATGGTTCTAGACTAGATAACATACCTTACAGGGTTATAGACTAGACTAGAGAACATACCTTACAAGGTTCTAGACTAGAGAACATGCCTTACAGGGTTCTTGACTAGACTAAAAAATGTACCTTAAAGGGTTCTAGACTAGAGAACGTGCCTTAAAGGGTTCTAGACTAGAGAACATACCTTACAGGGTTCTAGACTAGAGAACATACCTTACATGGTTCTAGACTAGATAACATACTTTACAGGGTTATAGACTAGACTAGAGAACATGCCTTACAGGGTTCTAGACTAGACTAGAGAATGTACCTTACAGGGTTCTAGACTAGAGAACATACCTTACAGGGTTCTAGACTAGAGAACGTACCTTAAAGGGTTCTATACTAGAGAACGTACCTTAAATGGTTCTATACTAGAGAACATACCTTACATGGTTCTAGACTAGACTAGAGAACATACCTTACAAGGTTCTAGACTAGAGAACATGCCTTACAGGGTTCTAGACTAGACTAGAGAATGTACCTTACAGGGTTCTAGACTAGAGAACATACCTTGCAGGGTTCTAGACTAGACTAGAGAATGTACCTTACAGGGTTCTAGACTAGAGAACGTACCTTGCAGGGTTCTAGACTAGAGAACGTACTTTACAGGGTTCTAGACTAGACTAGAGAACATACCGTAAAGGGTTCTAGACTAGAGAACTTACCTTAAAGGGTTCTAGACTAGATAACATACCTTACAGGGTTCTAGACTAGAGAACATACCTTACAGGGTTCTAGACTAGAGAACATACCTTACAGGGTTCTAGACTAGACTAGAGAACATACCTTAAATGGTTCTAGACTAGAGAACGTACCTTAAAGGGTTCTAGACTAGAGAACATACCTTACAGGGTTCTAGACTAGAGAACATACCTTACATGGTTCTAGACTAGATAACATACCTTACAGGGTTATAGACTAGACTAGAGAACATACCTTACAAGGTTCTAGACTAGAGAACATGCCTTACAGGGTTCTAGACTAGACTAGAGAATGTACCTTACAGGGATCTAGACTAGAGAACGTACCTTACAGGGTTCTAGACTCGAGAACGTATCTTACAGGGTTCTAGATTAAATAACATACCTTACAGAGTTCTAGACCAGACTTTAGAACATACCTTACAGAAGCAGGCCCAGGGGTTCTGCGACAGGTAGGTGTAGGGAACATCAGGTTTGGCGGAGAACCACTGGTCAGGCATGGTTCTGATGCGGTTCTGCTCTAGAACCAGGGTTTCAATGGCCGGGAGGGAGCGGAACATCAGAGGGGGCAGAACAGAGATACGGTTCTGAGACAGCTCCAGGATCTAGAACAAACAACAACAGGGGTGTTAATTGACTTACTAGCTAACTAACTAACTAACTAACTAACTAACTAAATAACTAGCTGACTGACTGACTAGCTAACTAGCTAACTAACGAACAAACTAACTAGTTGACTGACTAGCTAACTAGCTAACTATATAACTGACTAGCTAACTATCTAATTGACTAGCTAACTGACTAACTGACTGACTAGCTAGCTAGCTAACTAACTAGCTGACTTACTAACTAACTAACTAACTCACTGACTAACTAACTAACTAACTGACTAGCTAAATAACTAACTGACTAACTGACTGACTGACTAGCTAACTAGCTAACTTACTGACTAACTGACTAACTGACTCGCTAACTAACTAACTAACTAACTGACTGACTAGATAACTAATTAACTGACTGACTAGCTAACAAACTAACTGACTGACCAGCTAACTAACTAGATAACTAACTACCTAACTAGCTAGCTAACTAACTAACTGACTAGATAACTAACTAGCTAGTTAACTTACTAACTAAACTGACTAGATAAATAAATAACTGACTGACTAGCTAACTAAGAAACTAGCTAGCTAGCTAACTAACAAACTGACTGAGTAGCTAACTGACTGACTGACTGACTGACTGACTGACTAGCTAACTGACTAGCAAATCAGGTAACCAAACAATTAACCAATAAAAAAATCAACTAATTAACTAAGTGGCGTACTGACCTGTAGCAGTCTGAGCCCAGAGAAGGACAGGTCGTCTAGTGTCTCCAGGAGGTTCTGGTCCAGATAGAGTTCTAGCAGGTCCGGTGTGGCCCTGAAGGAGTGAGGGGGCAGGGTTCTAATGCGGTTCCCTACCAAGCGTAGAACCCCCAGGGTAGGGAGAACTGGGCCAGGGGACAGGGGAACCTCTGGAACCGCGTTGTGGCTGAGATCTATCTCATAGAGCTCTGGGAAGTGACTATAGGAGAACCAGGTTAGACTGGAGAACTGGTTCTGGGGAAAGATCAGCACCTAGAACACAGGAGAGATTATGATAATGTAGTATAGTAGAGTAAAGTAGATTAGAGGAGAGTTTTAATTTTATTTTTGAACTTTTATTTTAACAGGGAAGACATATTTAGACCTAGGTCTCTTTTACAAATGTGCCCTGTATATACAACATAAATATACACATCATACCCGCCCAAAAAATATATATACACATTAAAATACAAAAACACAGTCATATAAAGATCCAGTCCATTTAAAAAATTGGAGGCCCCTTACACTTCAGTGTTGTGATGCAAAAATTCTAGCAAAATGTATAGCGCATAGAATTAAAAAGGTATTGTCGGATATTATTCATTCTAATCAGACAGGTTTTTTACATGGACGATACATTGGAGATAATATAAGACAAGTACTGGAAACAATAGAACACTGAAAAATCTGGGAAACCAGGCCTGGTATTCATAGCTGACTTTGAAAAGGCATTTGAAAAATTACAACTGGAGTTTATATATAAATGTCTGGAGCATTTCAATTTTGGAGAATCTCTTATAAAATGGGTTAAAATCATGTATAGTAACCCTAGGTGTAAAATAGTCAATAATGGCTATTTCTCCTAAAGTTTTAAACTGTCAAGAGGAGTAAAACAAGGTTGTCCACTATCGGCATACCTTTTTATCATGGCCATGGAAATGTTAGCTATTAAAATCAGATCCAACAATAATATCAAGGGATTAGAAATCTAGGGTTTAAAAACAAAGGTATCATTGTACGCTGATGATTCATGTTTTCTTTTAAATCCACAACTTGAATCCCTCCACAGCCACATAGAGGATGTAGATACATTTTTGAACCTACTGGATTACAACCAAATTACAATAAATGTACTATATTATCTATTGGATCACTAAAAAATACTATTTTTACATTACCATGTAGTTTACCAATAAAACGGTCTGACGGTGATGTGGATATACTCAGAATACATATCCCAAATGAAATAAATGATCTCACTCCAATACATTTTAATAGAAAATTAGCGAAAATAGATAAGATCTTGCTACCATGGAAAGGTAAATACCTGTCTATTTGTGGAAAAATCACCCTGATTAACTCTTAGTATTATCCCAGTTTACCTATTTGCTTATGGTCTTGCCTATACCTAGCGAAGAGTTTTTTAAATTATATGAGAAAAAAATATTCCATTTTATTTTGAACGGCAAGCCAGACAAAATTAAACGGGCCTATTTATATAATGAATATGAATTCGGAGGACAGAAATGATTCAATATTAAAGCATTAGACCCATCACTAAAAGCTTCAGTCATACAAAAGTTACACTTAAATCCGAACTGTCCAAGAATGGCCTTTTTCACTTTATTCAGATTACAAACTCTCACTTTCAGTTATTTGAAAAGGAAATAATCTCCCAAATATCACTATTTCTAAAACAAGCCATAGAAAGTTGGTTGCAATTTCAATTTAATCCTCCAGAAACGACTGAACAAATAATGCAACAAATATTGTGGTTAAATTCAAATATACTAATTAATAAAAACCTTTATTTTTTGAAAAAAAAAGTTTTTAAAAGGTATAATCTTCGTAAATGATATCATATGTAAGACTGGTGGAGTTATGTCGCACATGCAGCCAACAAAAACATATGGAAATGTCTGCTCTACCCAAAATTACAACCAAATAATTGCAGCATTACCACAAAAATGGAAGAGGAAAGTGGAAGGGGGAAAAAGTAAGGAACTTGTCTGTCGGCCTTGCATTAAAGAACATAATTGGTTAAAGGAAATTGTGATAAATAAAAAAGTATACCAGTTTCATTTAAGGACCAAAGGATTGACAGCCGTCCCATATAGATTGCAAAATAGTTGGGAAGAGATTTTTGACATACCGATCCCATGGCATAGTGTTTAAGAACTGATACGCAAAATGACGCCGGATTCAAAACTTTGAATTTTTCAATTTAAATGATTATACAAAATGATTGCTAACAATAGAATGTTATTTATATGGGGGATACAATCTTCCCAGCTCTGCAGATTTTGCTGCGAAAAGACAGAATCATTAGATCATTTGTTTTGGTACTGTCCATTTGTAGCTTGTTTTTGGACACAGGTCCAGGAATGGCTAAAGGATTGCAATATTTACCTGGAGCTAACCCTGCAGATAGCACTACTGGGTGATCTGAAAAGTCATTGTCAATCGATCAATAATATAATAATACTTTTAGCAAAAATGTTTATTTTCAATTTACAATCTGTAGAAACAATGAGAATAGAAGGGTTCAGAACTTTTGTAAAACATCACAGTACAGTTGAAAAATGTATGGCAAATAGAAATCCAATATGGATGGTGTTAAGAGATAGATGGGAGGTGTTGAATGGAGCTGAAGGATGGGACTAATAACAACTAACAACAACTAATAACAACAAGATAACTAATGTAAAGCATACTGTGCCGATAATAAGTATATAGGTTATAGGTTGAGAGCTTTTGTGAAAGAGCACAGTTAGAAAGATATGGCATATAGTGTCACGCCCTGGCTCTGGGACTCTGTTATGTTGAGCCAGGGTGTGTGGTTTCTATGTGTTTTGTGTGCTAGGGTGTTTATCTAGTTTATTTGGTTCTATGTTGGCCGGTGTGGTTCTCAATCAGAGGCAACGTGAATCAGCTGTTGCTTGTTGTCTCTGATTGGGAACCATACTTAGGCAGCCTGTTTCCCACAGTGTGTTGTGGGATCTTGTTCCGTTGAAGGTTTGTGTTTGTAACCAAGGACGTCACGTTATCGTTTTGTTCGTGAGTTCTCTAATAAATAAGTATGTTCGCATTCCACGCTACGCCTTGGTCCTCTGTGTATGACGATCGTGACATATAGAAGCAAACCGGATGGACATCATGAAAATGATCGGAGAGGTTGAGGGTAGAGGAAGTTCAGGAGTAAAAACAAACAAAATAGAATTATTGTAAATTTGACTGTGTCCATAAAATGTATGTATAAGCTGTACATTTTAGGCCTAATCGTTGTTGTTCACTAGTCTACTCCAATTAGGGAAGGGGTGTAACTAGTCTACTCCAATTAGGGAAGGGGTGTATATAAATGTATGTATATGTTTTTATATGTATGTACAGTGTATGTTTATATGTATGTGTATATGTATGTATATGTGTATATATATATATATTTGCGGGAAAAAACATATGGGGGATTGGAAGTGATGCAGACACTTACATTGATTGAAGTTACAATCTATCTGCAATATTAAAGCTGGAAGTTTATGAAGTCGGGTCTTGTAAACAAAAAGGGAGTAATGTAGAGATCTACGGGTCTTTAGCGAAGTCCAGCCAACCTTTTGATACAGGATAGACTGATGAGTATTAAAACTGTCCCCTGTAACAAAGCGAAGGGCACTATGGTAGACGGCACCCAAAGGGTTAAGAGTAGTAGCAGCTGCACTTTGATAAATAATATCACCATAATCAGGAACAGATCAAAAGGTTGACTGGCCTCCCGAGTGGCACAGTGTTCTATGGCACTGCATTGTAGTGCTTGAGGCGTCACTACAGACCCGGGTTCGATCCCAGGCTGTGCTACCAGCCGGAGTGTTGCCAGCTAGCTACCCACCGGAGTGATGCTAGCTAGCTACCCGCCGGAGTGATGCTAGCTAGCTACCCGCCGGAGTGATGCTACCTACCAGCCGGAGTGATGCTAGCTAGCTACCTGCCGGAGTGATGCTAGCTAGCTACCTGCCAGAGTTATGCTAGCTACCAGCCAGAGTGATGCTAGCTAGCTACCTGCCAGAGTGATGCCAGCTAGCTACCCGCCGGAGTGATGCCAGCTAGCTACCCGCCGGAATGATGCTAGCTAGCTACCCGCCGGAGTGATGCTAGCTAGCTACCCGCCGGAGTGATGCTACCTACCAGCCGGAGTGATGCTAGCTAGCTACCCGCCGGAGTGATGCTAGCTAGCTACCCGCCGGAGTGATGCCAGCTAGCTACCCGCCGGAGTGATGCTAGCTAGCTACCCGCCGGAGTGATGCCAGCTAGCTACCCGCCAGAGTGATGCTAGCTAGCTACCTGCCGGAGTGATGCCAGCTAGCTACCCGCCAGAGTGATGCTAGCTAGCTACCCGCCGGAGTGATGCCAGCTAGCTACCTGCCAGAGTGATGCCAGCTAGCTACCCGCCGGAGTGATGCCAGCTAGCTACCCGCCGGAGTGATGCTAGCTAGCTACCCGCCTGAGTGATGCTAGCTAGCTACCCGCCAGAGTGATGCTAGCTAGCTACTCGCCGGAGTGATACCTCAACTACCTCAACTAGCCGGTGCCCCCGCACATTGACTCTGCAACGGTACCCCCCTGTATATATAGCCTCCCTACTGTCACTTTATTTTACTTCTGCTCTTTTTTTCTCAACACTTTTTTTGTTGTTGTTTTATTCTTACTTTTTTTGTTTAAAATAAATGCACTGTTGGTTAAGGGCTGTAAGTAAGCATTTCACTGTAATGTCTGCACCTGTTGTATTCGGCGCATGTGACCAATACAATTTGATTTGATTTGATTTGATTTGATTTGAGCTAGCTACCTGCCAGAGTGATGCTAGCTAGCTACTCGCCGGAGTGATGCTAGCTAGCTACCTGCCAGAGTGATGCTAGCTAGCTACCTGCCGGAGTGATGCCAGCTAGCTACCCGCCGGAGTGATGCTAGCTAGCTACCCGCCGGAGTGATGCTAGCTAGCTACCCACTGGAGTGATGCTAGCTAGCTACCTGCCAGAGTGATGCTAGCTAGCTACCCGCCGGAGTGATGGACATCAAATAATTGTTACCAACATCAAAAGAGAGCCGAGAGTTCAAGTGATTTAGTTTTAAACGTTTCCTATGTTTTCATTGGTTGTCTTCAAGCTAGGCTTCACATGAGGTAGGTTACAGTAGGCTATTCTATGAACTGAAATTGTGGCTGTTGTGTTGTTGCCTAAAACAGACAATATATTTTCATTATTTTAAAGCAGAACTGTCTTGTCATTACCACTGCCTTGGAGTAGGATGCCTAACCTGTCTTAGGTATAGGGGTGGATTCTGGGTAGGAGGCCTGTCTTAGGTATAGGGGTGGATTCTGGGTAGGAGGCCTGTCTTAGGTATAGGGGTGGATTCTGGGTAGGAGGCCTGTCTTAGGTATAGGGGTGGATTCTGGGTAGGAGGCCTGTCTTAGGTATAGGGGTGGATTCTGGGTAGGAGGCCTGTCTTAGGTATAGGGGTGGATTCTGGGTAGGAGGCCTAACCTGTCTTAGGTATAGGGGTGGATTCTGGGTAGGACCTAACCTGTCTTAGGTATAGGGGTGGATTCTGGGTAGGAGGCCTAACCTGTCTTAGGTATAGGGGTGGATTCTGGGTAGGAGGCCTAACCTGTCTTAGGTATAGGGGGGGATTCTGGGTAGGAGGCCTGTCTTAGGTATAGGGGTGGATTCTGGGTAGGAGGCCTGTCTTAGGTATAGGGGTGGATTCTGGGTAGGAGGCCTAACCTGTCTTAGGTATAGGGGTGGATTCTGGGTAGGAGGCCTAACCTGTCTTAGGTATAGGGGGGGATTCTGGGTAGAAGGCCTAACCTGTCTTAGGTATAGGGGGGGATTCTAGTCTATGCTATTAACCATATACTCTGAGGGGCTGTTTACAGTGAGTTATTTTAAACTTTTCTATTAACTTTTTAAACATACTATTAGGAAAGGTGCCACTACTACTAAGGACTGTGGTGAGGTTAAATGTGTTACTAAGGACTGTGGTGAGGTTAAATGTGTTACTAAGGACTGTGGTGAGGTTAAACGTGCTACTAAGGACAGTGGTGAGGTTAAATGTGCTACTAAGGACTGTGGTGAGGTTAAATGTGTTACTAAGGACTGTGGTGAGGTTAAATGTGCTACTAAGGACTGTGGTGAGGTTAAATGTGCTACTAAGGACTGTGGTGAGGTTAAATGTGCTACTAAGGACTGTGGTGAGGTTAAATGTGCTACTAAGGACTGTGGTGAGGTTAAATGTGTTACTAAGGACTGTGGTGAGGTTAAATGTGTTGGGCATCAGGGACATAGCTTTGTTTGTTACTCAACCTCCCAAGGCTGATCTGAGAAGATCTTTACAAAAACAGCTATTTCCTACCTGTTACATGTAGAAAAAGCCAACTTTAAATCTTAGCTTCTATTCTACTCTACTAGTAGAGTAAAGGAGAGTATTGTCCTGAACTTTCTTTTACAATCCTTGGACTGAGAACCTATTCAGCGGTCCAGACAACTTCTGAAATCTTGGTCAAAGCCAGCACAGCACAACTAGTTTAGTTGACTTTCATTTAATTGTTATAGAGACGTATATCGGTACCTTGGTCGTCGTGTCAATGCTGGCGGGGACATCGCTAAGGTCGATTGCCGTGCAGTTGACCCGGGGGCGGTGGTCCTTGTCACGGTCACTATGGCAACCAGTCATGGCATTGGAGCGGTGAGAGAGGGGGAGGAAGAGGAGGAGGAAGACGAGTGTCATGCTGAAGGACTGAAACACC